GGACTTAAGTACCAACTACTATTGTAGCCTATAAAGATTTTCATGTATTCCTCATATCCTTACCAAGCTTCAGGCTTAGGTCTTACCTAAGGTCCCTCTTTATGACTTTCAAACACAAGTCTTAGCTGTCATTTTGCCAGTGCAAAACACAGAACCACTCAAGGAAGCTGACAGTTTACCATGTAAAGGTCTTACCTTCGCAGTCGTAAAAACTCTAGTTGGACAGGCAGAAATGCCATCTTGACCAATTCTGACTTTTTTTCTGATGCACAAATACCTTCAGATAAAGGCACATACAACTGAGGCAAAAATTTTAAAGGGAAAAGAGCCCTACTTCTATTAAATGAGCTATTTGGCCTTTGGCAAATATTTAAGTCTATGGGCCTTAGTTTCCCCATCAGTAAAAACAGGGAGGTTAGAGGTGATAAGACTTCAGAGGACTAGAGCTTATGGGGATCATATTATTGCTATATAATCCTTAATTCATATATGACACTTTAAAAATATTATTGAAGCCTTTTACCTCCTGATCTGAATGCAATAGAATGTTTGTAAACCACACATAACTATTTTCATTCCCCACCACGAAAAAAAAAGAGTCAAACTTTAGTCTGTCATCTACATTTAACTATCAGTTTATAGAAATACACGATAGAATAAGGTTGAACGATAGAATAAGATGAAATCAGACAAATCTAGAATATGGGAAATTCATCTACACAAATGACCCCATATTTACAAGTGTCAAGAAAAAAGAGAGAGGATGGCTTTTTCCATATTAAAAGACATAAGAAATATCAATCAAATGCAATGTATAGACCTATATAGTTTAGATGCTAATTCAAAGAAATGAGTGTGAATCATTTTCTGAGAAAATTAGAAAAATCTAAACACTATATTAGTTGAAATGTTATGACCAACATCTGCTTTACAATGATTCCGGCTGAGAATGGGGTTGGGGGTGCATAAAGTGGCAGGAAGTGAAGAGTAGAATACAGATCAAATTAGCTAAATATTAATAATTGGTGCCAAGTGTTGGGTTGTTCATTTTACTTTTAAAATTTTCATAATAGTAAAAAAATGACTTTCAAATCTATTAATTTTATGTACGTTACCTGATATATCACTAGACCTTGCTGAAGGAATAGAATTTTGAGCTAAGTACAAAATTTTAAGAAAACAAAGACAAAAAAGTAGTCACTAAAGCCCAAATATCAATTAAGTGGTATAATCTGTATCTATTAAGAAAATAAACCCCTGAAACCTATAAAAATACACCTAATCAGATTCAACAATTTTCAATCCACAGCCCATCTTTTTCATTTAAAACCCCATCCAAGATACCCCAAAAGCTCTGGTCCCATGTTAGAAATGGCTTTTTAAAAGGCTCATTACTTTGATTTGTATTGAGTTGTCTTGACACTAAAATTTTGTTTTAGTCTTCGGGAAAAAATCATTCCCTATGCTTAAATACGCTTAGTCAGTTCTACTCCCACATCTAACAGGTTCAAGATCCTGCATATTGATTGTTAAATAATTAAAGTAAAATATTCAGAACAAAATATGAGAGAATTAACATGTTTTACTCTGGAGATTGGGAAGGATTTTTTAAATAAGATATAAAAGAGGACAGGCCATTAACGTATAAATCTTACTATCATTTACATCCTATCCATCAGTAAGAAAAAAACAAATAGCACAACAGAAAAGTGGACAAAGATGTAACAGGCATTTTATTGATATAGGATTGTAAATTGGTCCAACTAACTTTAGAAAAAACATCAGCATTACTAATTAAGCAGAATATGTTCAAATCCTACCATGTAGCAGTTAACTGTATTAGTTTGCTAGAGTGGCTGTAACAAAAATATCATAGCCTGAGTTGTTAAGATCAAGGTGTTCACAGGTTGAGTTTCTTCCGAAGCGCCGCTCCTTGGTTTACAGATGTCCTTGTGCAGTGTCCTCGCACGGCTTTTCCTCCCTCAATGTGCATGTCCATTGTCTCTCTGTATGTCCTCATCTCTTCTTATAAGAACACCAGGATTGTGTCAGCTCTCCCCACAACCCCAAAGCCCTCGTTTTAACTTATTACCGCTTTAAAAGTCCTATCTCCAAATGTCACATTCTGAGGTATTGGCAATTATGGTTTCAACATATGAATTTTGGGGAGAAACAATTCAGTCCATAATGCCGCCTCTAGGCATATTAGCCACAGAAACGTCTCCACATTTGAGAACACTGATAACAGTTTAGTCCGTAATAGTAAACAATATAATGGATAATTCAAGTGTGCTGTATTTCTAAAACAAACTACTATATGACTGTGAAAAGGAACAAACTATAGCTACGTGCATAAATATGAATTACTCTTAGAAAGTATGAAATGGAAAAAAATTGGTTACAAAAGTATACATGCACTATAACTCCAATTATGTTAAGGTGTCAACATAAGAATAGTCCAAACCTGTAGAGAATTTTTTAAAATCCTTTTTTTACATTCAATATTATTTTATATTAGTTTCAGATATACAGAATAGCAGTTAGACATTTATATCATTGACAAAGCGATCCCCTCAATTAGTCTAAAAGAGTTTGAGCCCAAACTGATGACATATGCCGAGGAGCAAGATCTCAAATGCTCCTGAGAATAACAGCTTTGCAGTTTCTTTTAGGCATTTGAAATTAAGGAAGGGATGCAGGGACTATTACATGAAGGCGGGAGAAAGCAAGGTAGGGACTGTATTGTGGGGTAGTTAAGATTATGTGCTCTCTCGAGGCATCTGAAATGGTGGTAACTATTAGGAGGGGCCTGAAAAGAGGCATATCAAGTGTTGACTTAGATGTGCAGAAACGGACAGGGTTTGTTTGAGGAGTTACAAGCCTGGGTGTGACCAGCCGCCCTGACCTGCCCAGTTAGGAATTTATGATCGGATCACTCTGTGAGGTTACTTTCTATAGAACCCATTTTTCTCATCCACAAAGGAAAGATGCAGTACATATTCTGGGAATACATTTAGGTTGCCTTATGATAAACTTTAAGGTAATGGATAACACAAAATTCAGGATGGCAGTTTCCTATGAGGAGGAGACTTGAGCCAGTAATTTAATCAATTCTGCCTGCTCGATGAAATCCCATTAAAAAAAAAATCCTAAAACAACCAGGTTCAAGAAGCTTCCACGTTGGTGAACACACCGATGTGCTGGGAGCGGCACACCCAGACAGGCCACGGGAGCTCTGCACTCTTTGCCCCTCATACTTTTTGCCTTGTTGTTTAGAGTATAAAGAAATGAAGACTTCTCGGGCCTTAGAAAATGGATTCCATGGGAGCCATGACAGTAAGGTCAACTTGCACATAATGAGAATGCCCTTAGGGTTTATCTGGACCGCCCAGAACCACATCTGCAGGAGCTGATAAGCCTGATCACACTTTATAAAGTTGATATAAGCTGAACATCTTAGACCGGGCTGTGGACCGGTACCAGTCTGTGGTTAGTCAGGAACCAGGCCGCACAGCAGGATGTGAGTGGCTGGCAAGCAAGCCAAGCTTCATCTGTATTTGCAGCCGCTCCCCAGCGCTAGCATCACCACCTCAGCTCCAGCACAGATCATTAGGCATTAGATTCTCGTAGGAGCACCAGTCCCTGGTGCCAAAAAGGTTGGGGACAGCTGCCTTAGACGATATTCAAGCCTGACCCGATAGCATCACAGACGGGGGCGCCAGAGCCAAAGACTCTGACCTGACCCTTTGTAGCCACTGGCTTGGGCCCGACTTGCAGCTCTCTGCGCCACCAGTCATTAGAACTTGCTTTGGAGACACTAATGACTTTCATCGCTTCACTCTGTCGCCTAATACTCTGTACTTCCCCCCTCTGTGTGTTGTGTGTTAACCCACATGGGTGTCTGATTGGTTCCACTCAATAAGCCTGGCATTGAAGAAAGACACAGACGTGTTCAAGGGTGTTCCTTCCGTAGCTGCTTCCCTTGCTCGCGACACTTCGGTAAGTCTTCCCTTTATTTGGTTGTTCCTCACGGGATCCTTTATAATAAGGCTGTACTAGTAAGTATAGCACTTTCCTGAATTGTCATTCATTCTAGGGAATTATCACCCATGTGAGAAGGGTGCTGTTCAGGCAATTGTGGGAATTCTTATTTTGTGGTCAGCTGGGTAGAAGTGCAGGCAGTCTGAGGATTCTGGAGACTGTGGCTGGCATGGAATATATGACAGGAAAAAAAAAAAAAAACTAGGAAGGGCAATTAAATAATGATAACAGGAATATCCAGAATATACTGTTAGTGAAAAACAAAGAGCAGAACAATGCAGAGAACACCGGAGGAGAAATGGAGGAAAATAAGAATGTATATTCTCATTTGCTTGTATTTGCACGAAGAGTAGAAGGACAAACAAATTAAAAATGGTTACCTGTAGGAGACCATGAGGAACAATACCGGATGGGGACTAGGGAGGGGCTGAAATCTTAGAGCATTGCTTTTTATGTAGTTTGTATGCAGTTCTTTTTATGTAGTTTCACGTAGCTCAAATTTATGTAGTTTGAGCCACGTAAAATAATTATTCACTAATCAAAAAAGGTTTTAAAAATCCAGTGGGAGAAGCAAAATGTTTTTCAAAAATCTGTCTTTGTGTAATCCCATAAGTTAAAACTAAAAAATAGCTTGAGGTAAAGAAATGCTGACAAAGTCCTATAAAATCTCTGAGTTGAAATGAAAACTCCTGTATCTTTTTTATTTCTCGAACTAAATTCTAATAAAAGGCAATAACTATAATCTGCGTTCCAAGGTTGGCTTGTAACAAAGATCATCTATTTACACTGACTTATTTTGTTAAAAAGAAATGTTTCGTTCAAGTCATTACAGGACAGAAATATAAATATACGTATTTAATATATACTTTAAATCTACTTAATGACATGCAGATGTATGTTCAAAATCAGTGCACCGCTAACTGATGACTTAATACAATACGGATGATGACTTAATACAATACGGTTCTCTAACTAAGGAAACAGGGTGAAATGAGCTTAAAATTCCAAATTCTCTTAGAAAGGTGTCAAGTTACTTCGGAGCGCGCTCACAGCTGTACAGCTGGACCCGGAGGGCGAGGGCCGGCCGAAAGGCCTCCTCCCTTGGCAGCGGCCCCTCCTCCGTCCCCCGGGCGCCAGGACCCGGCCGGGACGAGGCCGATCCACGTTCGGCGGCAGCGGACGAGCCGACCACAGCCCGGACCGCCGAGCTTCCGCACACGCCGCCGCCGCCGGCGGAGCGCGCACGGCGTGGTCACCGCCAGAGCGTTCAAAGAACTCGCGCGAGAGTAGGAAACACCTCCAGGCTGCCGCGAGCGCGTCGGGAGGGCGGGAGAGCGCGACGGGGCCCGGCTGCGCGCCTGCGCAGAGGGCCGAGCCGCCCGCCTCCCGCTGGAAGTGGGGCATCCGTGGATGCGGAGGCCCGGCCGGCCGGAAGTGGGCGCGCGCAGGGAATGGGGGCCGAGCAGAGACACCGCTCCGCGGGCGAGACGCGCGGTTCGCGGCACTGGGCGGCAGGTGAGAAGGAAGGGAAGCGCTGATGAGAGTGGATCGGAGTCGGCTAATGGGAGACATTCCCGGGTTCGTTATAGGGGGCGACACATTCTGGTTCTGCTCAGATGACGAATGGAGGTCTACCGGGGGAAGAGGGCAGCGGTCCGGATCTGAAGGGAGAGAAGTCTAGAATCGGCTGGAAGGGTTAGGCCGAAGTTCTTAAAAGGCAGTATTTGGCTCCCGCGAGGACTGGAGAGACGAGTCAGAAATCTCCTGGGAAGAGGGTTACATTCTGATCTGCCTAAAACTGATCACACCTGCAAGTTCCCCTTAAGGCCGTGTGTACCGATTAACGTGTGCGTAATGACGATGTGGGAAACAAAGGGGCGTGCATGAGGGCCAAGGTAATATCAAATTGTTACTTATGAGACAGATTTTCAGTGCCTTCAAGGAGGGAATCAAGCCTTATACGTCCTTTTAAAAAAAATAGACTATTTTAGGCAGACAAAAGTAGAAATAAAACTACTACATATTTATTCACTACCCAACTGGAGGAATAAATTATCATCTAAGTAATTGAAATCTTTTGTCTGCTCCACCCAATCCCATTCTGTTCCCTCTTGGAAGGTAACCATTCTTCCAAGCACTTTTGTGTTTTAACTTTTAATTTCATATATATAGTGCCGTTTTGCATAATTTTAACAATCAGTAATGTATACGTCCTTTTGCAGCTTTTCCTACTGCTTTTTAAGATTTGTCAGTGTTATGTAACTAGTTCATTCATCGCAGCAGATGAACAGGTCTTCCCTCATATAAGTCACCGTTCATTTTCTTGCTTTGTAGCCCCAGTGTACTGACACATTGTAAATACTTAAATTTTATTTGAATGGTTGAATGCTCTAGCATTGGAGCTAACTCCTAAAGAATGAAGAGGATTTCAAATGACTTACGAGGGTAAGAAAAGTATTCAAGGCAAAGGGAATACTGCTTCAGAACAAAAGAAGCATGAAAGGGCACGAGGTGTTTCAAGAACTTCCATAGTCTTAGAGCTTAAAATGTAGAATCGAACGGAGATATGTGATGAAAGAGAAATCTAGAAGGATAGGATGGCTTAGAGTTAAAGGATATTATCCCGAGGAGCTTACACTAGCTCAGAGCCATTAGAGGTTTTTGAATTAGGAAACTGATCAGAGCTGTATTTTTAGAAGATAATATTCATACCACTGTGGAGGTATGTCTAAGAGGTAAAAATAAGTTGCAAGTAATTAAAGACTACCTATCAGGCATCACTAATGATAATGATTATTGGATTAAGCATGTAAGACAATCATGCAGACTTGCTTAAAATCCTGAAATAACTTCACAGTACTGCTTCCCTAGATAACTAGTACATACCTTCTGTCATGTTATAATATGTATATGCTCTGATTTATGTTGAGTTCTAATTGAAAATATCTCTTTAAATCAAAGTTCCAAAACTCATGGTTAGACCAAAAACCTCAGGTTGAACCTCTCTTCCAAAACTTCTATGATCTCCCATTAAGGCGCCTTTCAGACGGATAGTGAAGAAAAGAGAGGGCAAACAAAAGACTTCAGAACATGTTTTGTTTAGCACCATTTTTCTTTAGCCATGTAAAGTAAATATCTACAAGATATCTGGGGAGATTTAACAGTTGTCCCGCACTAAACTGACCAGATACGAGAGTCTTCTCTTGAAAGTTATCCACATCACCATTTTTCACTAAATTATACTAAATCGTGTGATCCATCTTACCAACCACCTTTATTTACCCCTGCCTATACCTTCAGGTCTATACCCTCCTCAGTTCTGACTTGGTCGTTTTTCTGACAGTTTATATCAGGGAGACTACCAGGGTAACTCAGTAGCAGGCTAGGCCATCACAACTCGAGAGCCGAGAGCAGGCCCTTTGGCGTTGTTTGAAGTCTGTCATTATGAATGAGTTACCTTAACAAAAATTGGCACTATTGGAGAAAAAGCTCCAGCAACAAACAGACAATTTTTGCTGGGATCCTCTTTAAAAATTCACTGTACATATAATCCAACAACCAAGTTCCTTAGTGTTTACCCAGAGAAGTTGAAAACTTAAATCTGCACAAAAACTTGCAATCGTGTTTATAGCCGTTTTACTCATAATTGCCAAAATGTAGCAGCAACCAAGATATTTTTCATTAGTGAATGATAAATAAACTGTGCTATATTCAGATTATGAACTTAAAAAGAAATAAGCTAGCAATGCAAGAACAGACACAGAGGAAACTTACATGCATCTTACTGAGTGAAAGAAGCCAGTCTGAAAGAAGCCAATACTCTATGATTTCAACTATATGACGTTCTGGAAAAGACAGTTGTGGAGACAATTTAAAAAATCAGGGATCGTTGGGGAGGGTGGAAGGAATGAAGAGGCGAAACACAGGATTTTTAGGGCAGTGAAAATATTCTGTATGATACCATAATGATGGATACGTGTCGTATATTTGTCAAAACAAAGAGTGCACCCTAATGTAAGCGATGGACTTCGGGTAATCATAAGGTATCAGTGTAGGTTTATCGGTTATAACAAACACCACTGGTAGAGGATATTGATAATGGGGAAGGAAAGACTGCACTTCTGGGGCCCGGGAGAAAATGGGAGACACTTTCTCTACCTACTGCTTAATTTCGTTGTGAACCTAAAATTGCTCTTAAAAAATAGTCTTAATTTTTTTAAATGCATTATATGTGACATATTTTAACTCCCTTACAGCCTTCTGCCTCCTGGCAACATCTTTCTTATTTCAAGGTCACCATCCCCTGTGATGCCTCTTTCAAAGCTGGCTTTATTATTAAAAGATTAAACCCCCAGGTAAATACAGTGGCAACAAACTGGTGAACATTGATGACATTCAGGTAATTCATAGCATATTTTTCAGTGCTACATGCTCCAGTAACAAAAAGTCACTTATTTCTGAGACCAATACCTTGCTCGTGTACTATACTATACTCTGTTTTACTCGTAGATGAAGGATGAGTGATAGCTAGAATGAAAAATATTTAGTATGTTCCCCAAACTGGGGTATTCTAATCTTCCTCTCAGGCTATTGGGGGCATCCATTCACCAGGCAATCCATTCACCATCTCAAGATAAGGATGTTTCCACTTTAACACTGTGACTTCCTAGAAGGTCATGGCATGCAAAATTTATACTAACAATAACATCTTATGGAGAAAGTAGCATTAGGGCCAAACTATAAAACTTTGTAGCCAGAGCAATAAAAAAATAAAAATGATTTAAAATGTACCCGGGATTTGTTTTAATCTGGTATGAGACGTGCAGACACAAATGGCTGTCATGAAGTAGGAAGTTTTATGCTCACAGACCCCCTAGAAACGGGAGGTAGAGCATGCCATCCCACACAGCAAGGGCACAGAGGGAAGCGCCAGGACTGGTCAGGAGGACGGGGGATGAGGAGAATTGCAAAAAAGCCCATATTGTGGTTTTCCAGGGAAGGAATGGGTGAAGCAGATTAGAAGGTTTAGCACTGGCTTTTTGAATAATTCTGCGGACTCTCGGGCATGAAGGCTGTCCCTGGTTGCCTGGTACCTGGCCAGGGAATAGTGGTGGAATGTAAGAGCCTGGTCGAGGGGGTAGTACGGGTAGAGTAGGCTCTGGATTGGTTAGTTCTCATGGTTGGTTCATTCTCCTGGGTTGAGCTCTTTGCTGTCAATAGCGTTGTTTGCGATCTCTAGGAATTAGCCAACCCTGGAAGTATCAGTTCCTCTCCCATTAGTGAGAACCCAGATGCCAGAGCATCAAGAATACAGACAATAAGAAAATGTAGTTAATGCAAACAATTCTAATGAAAGTATTAATACTGTTAAGATACTGAATTCTAATAAACACTACAGTAAACATAAGACTTTGCCCTCTTCCCTGCGAGCAAGTGATGACTTGATGGGAAGGTGCGTAAGGAAGAGCTGTGTGTTCCAAGAGCCGAACACACTGAGAGGAGAGAGAGCAGTGTAGTAAGCAGGTCCAGGATGGGCGTGGCCATACTGAGCAAGCAGGAGGTATACGGCCAAGCCACGTATCCATGGGTTTCGCACCCGCAGATTCAACCAACTTGGGATTGAAAATATTTTTTTTTAAAAAAGTAAGGAATGAAAGATGGAGGGAGGGAGGAAGGAAGGAAAGAAAATTTCAGAAAGTTCGAAAAAGCGAAACTTGAATTTGCCACGTGCTGAGCACTATGGTCAGTCCACATGAATGCAGTGATGTCTAGGCCTACCTTGCTGTAGCCTGCAATGCAGATGTAGGTTACATGCAGACACCGCGCCATGTATATAAGGGACTTGAGTATCCATGGATTTTGATACTAAGTGACGACTATATGCTGAATGAGCTATATTCTTCCGTGGCCTTCCGTGTTCAGCTTTATCTGTGTGCTTGTAACTCCTGATGCCAACTTCCAGGTTTTGCTGACAGCATTTTTCTATTTACCAACCCATGTTGAGGTGGTTTGCCATACAGAAGTAGGCCTAAACCTACATAACATAGTGATGAGAAGAGCTGTAGGCTTTTTGCTTCAGCACCCATGACTGCGGATACTGTATAGGTCCCCAATACTGGCAGTAGCATTGCTCTGTATTGTAATGCTTTAATGCCATGTCTCTGTTCCTATTCTCAGGTCAAGGATGCATCCAAGAAATTTATAAAAATATATCATCGGCACCAATCTGATAGTTGACCTAGCCATGGAAAGCCTCATTGGAGCCTGACTACGTCAGACCATAACTGGAACTCAAAACTCTTCCCATCAAAAACTACCGGGAATGAAAATCTAAGATACCTATCTACCACTTCAAAAAAGTTCCCGTACTGGCCAACAGTCTAACAGTTTAAGTCAGTTTCTTTGATCATCAAGCAGACATGTTCAAGCTACTAACACAGCATTGGAAAATGGCTCTATATCAGTGTTTTGCACATTATTTGTGTGACCCATTAGTAGGTCATGAAATCAATTTTGTGAGTTATGATGAACATTTTTTAAGGCAAAATAAAATATAATCAGCGTGTTTTGCATAAATCTTTTGCCAGAATTATGCATATTGCAAGGAATACTAAGGTCAGTTACAATATGTAAAAAGATATTCGATGGAAGGGATGTGATGAATAGAATGTATGTTTGCTAAGAAATGGTTTTTCCGTCATTTGCCCACTGGTGTCTTATTTGGTTTTCATAATTGGCGCCTAGTTGTTTTTTTTGTTTGTTTGTTTGTTTTTGGTTTTTTTTTTTGGTGCCTAGTTTTATATTACCATGACTTCCAACTAGATGTGAAGTCTGAGATGTTAAACTGAGTTTAGATATTATCTAGGCTATAAATATGTATTTGAATTTGTGTAATTATAACATTTTAATCAAAATTACTTTTAAAATGGATAATTTTTTTTAAAAGAAAGGAATAATGGTGTGAAATATTCAGAAGCATGTTCAGGTTCAATCGTTGAATCTGAAAGTGTGAAGACTGACAGTATGGAGAAAAATACTAACTCTCATCTGTAAACTTCATCTTCATTTGAGCCACATTTCAAAAAAAAAAAGTAAGTACAAGACGCTATAATGAGAATTATTTAAAATGTGGTTTTATCAAATGTGAAAAACCTTTTGAAAATGACAGACCTCAGTGTGTTATTTGTAATAATAATCTTGCAAATGAAAGCTTAAAACCTTCAAAGTTCAAAAGGCGTTTAGAAACTCAGCATGCTGAACTTACCGATAAACCTCTTGAATATTTTCAAAGAAAGAAGAAAGATGTAAAGTTATCAACATAATTTCTTAGTTGTTCTATTGTCAGTGAGAAAGCCTTATTGTCATCATATTTAGTTGCATACCGTGTGGCAAAAGAGAAAATGGCTCACACAGCTACTGAAAAAATTATTCTTCCAGCATGTTTGGATATGGTATGTACAATTTTTGATGGTAAATCAGCTGATAAATTAAAAACTGTCCTCAGCGATATAACACAGTATCTCTTTGCATTTGTACCATTGTGGAACATTTTGAAATAATGCTTATTTCTCGGTTACAGTCTGGTACAGATTTTGCAATCCAGCTTGAAAGCACTGATATTGGAAGCTGCACAGCACTTGTAGTTTATGTCAGATATGCATGGCAAGATGATTTTTATGGAGGATTTTTTGTGTTGTTTAAATTTAACCTCAAACCTAAGTAGATTAGATATTTTTACAGAATTAGAAAAGTACATTATTGGTCAGTGTAAATTGGAAAAACTGCAAAGGAATTACGAGTGACAGAACAGCAGACATAACTGGAAAACATAGCGAGGTTACCAGAGGTTACTAATAACGGCGCCGTGTGGAATCATTGTTTTATACATTGTGAAGCTTTAGCATCCAGAGAAATGCCACAGAACCTCATGGAAGTATTGAAAAATGCAGTGAAAGTTGTTAATTTTATTAAAGAAAGCTCACTAAATAGCCAGCTCCTCGAAACATTTTGTTCAGAGATTAGAACTAATTATACCCACTTACTGTACCATACCAAAGTTCATTGGTTGTCTCAAGGGAAAATACTAAGCAGAGTTTACAAACTCAGGAATGAGATTCACATTTTTCTCACTGAAAAAAAAATCTCATTTGGCAAGTATTTTTGAAGATGACATTTGGGTAATGGAATTGGCGTATTTAACTGATATTTTTGGCATTCTTAATGAGCTCAGTTTAAAACTACAGGGGCAAAACAATGATATATTCCAGTATGTCGAACGTATCCAAGAATTTCAGAAGACATTATTGTCATGGCAAGCAAGGCTTAATAGTAACTGTCCTAGCTACTACACGTTTCCAAGATTTTTGCAACATATTGAAGAGAATTTTATTAATGAAGCCATTTTGAAAGAAATAAAATTAGAGATATTATTGCATCTCACTTCTCTATCTCAAACTTTTAACTGTTACTTTCCAGAAGAGAAATTTGAAACATTAAGAGAAAACTGTTGGGTAAAAGATCCATTTGCTTTTCAAAACCCAGAATCGATAGTTGAGTTAAACCCGGTGCCTGAAGAAGAGAATGAATTACGCAGCTCAGTTCTTCATTTACACTGAAGAATGATTATGAAGCATTAAGTTTGTCAGCATTTTGGATTAAGATAAAGGAAAACTTCTTTGCTAAGCAGAAAGAGCGACCTGCTATTATTACCATTCACAACGACAGGTTTGTGTGAACTAGGATTTTCAGTCCTAACCCAGTTAAAAACGAAGGAAAGAAGTGGGTCGAATGGTGCAGCAGATAACGCGGGTAGCATCGTCCCCCTGTGTTCCAGACCGGACTGAACTAATGAGCAGGCAGGCGTACCCGTCGCATTAAATAAATCTTAACCTGGTTTTGGTTTTGTGTTTCTTATTCTGTGGTATTTTTCTGTGTTGTACTTAAATGTTAATATATCATTATATGTAATGACTGTTGAGTTTTTATTTTTGTTATGTTTAAATATTAATAAAATAATAGTATATTAAATAATAACATTATAAGTATATTAAGTAAAATAATATAATATATTCAATGAACAAGAATTTAGTGAACTTTATTAGAGGCCAGGAACGGTCCTAGAGACATTTGAGATACAAAATAAACGAAGATCATTCCCTAGTGGAGCTTATGTTCTGGCAAGGAGAGAGACAATAAATAAATAGTCTTCATAATGAGGAGATAAATGCTGTAGGAAGAATGATAAGAAAGGAGGTCAGGGAGCTGTCTGGGCACCAGGTCATAAAGGGCCCTCTGGACCATCATAGGGTTTCTGAGGTTTGTCAGTGAAGTGGGGAGCGATCGAAGGGTTACTTAGGAGACATTTGAATTAGGTTTTAAAAGACCGGCTGCTGTTTTGAAAACATTGAATTAAATGTTACTTCCGTAAACAGGTCTCTAACCACCTTAGTTTGGATACATCCGTTATTCTTTTATTTGTAGTCTATAATTTGTAGTATCCTTTATTTATTTGGCTACTAGTTCTGTCATTCTGCCACGCCGGGATGAGTGCTCCATGGGAGCAGAGCGACACCCGTCTCGCCTGGCGCCTAGTAAGGGGGCGGGGTGCTCAGTGAGCATTTGATGAAGAACAAATGAATTGATATTAACATCTGTAACTCGAGGACATATTTCCAGGAATAATTAGTAAAATATGTGGCAAATTTCTCTGCCTTTTTTACATTTTAAAATCTCAGTTGCCAGATAATCTCTATATGAATCCAAAAATGGCGTTGATTGCTACTGCTTCCTCACATTGTTGCTGATAATGAAGCAACATATATTGCTTAATATGTCTTCCTCAGAGTAATGTCAACTTCTGCCTCTCTCTGCAGACGCTGACCCCACTGGGCGATGTTTTTTTGTTTTTTTTTTTTGCGGGGGGCATGGTCTTTCTCTAAAATCATATAGATTAGCAATTCCTTTCCATCAGCCATGCTTAGCATTATTTGATTTTTTAGGTTTTCTATTCTATTAAAGGTGATAGAATATTTCCCTTGTTAGTGCTTGAAATAAAATGTTGGAAGACAATTCTCCACAAATAGCTTACATTTCTGCACAGTATAGAGCCTCTGAATGAAAGTATTTGCTAAGAATGTATAAGGAGACATGTCTCCCTAGAGATATCCCAGGGAAGTAAAGATAAGTCCCCCCACCCCCCTCACCCCAGAGACCTGTGCTTGCATTCCAGGAGTAATGAGTAGTTTCTCTGTAAGGGAGGTTGCGAAGATGAACCAGCAACCCCATGAAACCCTAGTCTCCATGCAGAAATAGCATCTGGCCCACAGTGCTGTGGGCACTGGGGCATGGAGAATTGCTGATCTGGCTGGCTTCCTCTTTTTTTTTTTTTAACTGTTGGTAAGAGGCTATAACTGACCCAGAGGCCTTGTGCATAAGAAATACATTCACCCATCCCAAAGTCCCCCAAAGCCTTAGTCCATTACAGCATCAACTCAAGTCCAAGATACCAGAATCTAAGTCTCATCAGCTCAAAAGTCTCAAATCTCTAAATTGGGTATGGGTACAGTCCTGAGTGTAAACTCTCCTGGGGCAAAAGCCTCTTATTCGTGAATCTGTGAAACTAGAAAGCAAGTCTGTGCTCCAGAAATAGAGTGCTGGGAGAGGCATAGGGTTAACTGTTAACAGCCATTCATGTTTAAAACGGGAGAAAACTAAGGCAAAAAGGAGTCACCAGCCGATCGAAGTCCTCCTGGGCAAACTCCATTAAGTTTCAAAGCTTAGGAATAACACGTGGCTCATGTCTCTGCCCTTGACCCCTGCCTCCACTCTGGAATTGTGGCTCTACCCCCGAGGTCACCCTTTTTCATGAAGAATGGCATGTATTTGCCCCTGAGTAGTTTTTTATCGGCCTGCTTCCTGCCTGTAGAATTTTGGGAGACGGATAGCCACCTTTCATTTTGTCCTGTTCCTTTTAGTCCAGTTTGATGTCGTTTCTATTGGTATAATATTCGCAAAAACTTTGTGGGGCACAGAGATTCACTCCATTAGAAAAGAGGCTACCCCATAGGTCTTCGCCGAATACTCTCAGCTCGGTTTTGGGCTTCTGCTGAGCTGGCTGGGAGGCCCCACGAGTCACACAGCCTTCAAAGAGCCCTCTGCGTACCCGAACGCTCTAACCTTTTGTACTTTCGAAGCAAAAATCTAGCCACATTTAAAAATGCTCGAGACGATAAAGTTTATATTTTACTACAATTGAAAACTAAGAATAATTTAAAATTGTCCGGCCACATCATTGGCTTTCTCTAGCATGCTTTCCTGACAGTCGATCACTTAACAATTACCATCTTTTGCAATCTGGATAGGCTGAGTTTTCCAAATTGTCAAGTTCTGGTTCTTTTTTGTGACAGTTCTCTCAATTTCTCTCTTTCACATTATACTAAAAGTAACAAGAAGAAACTAGGTCACACCTTTAATACTTTGCTTGGAAATCTCAACTAAATTTCCAAGTTCATTGCTTACCAGTTCTGCTTTCTCCATAATTGTAGGACACCATTCATCTAAACTTTCTACCATTATATAACAGAACCCCGTTTCCTGCAGTTTCCAAAAACATTCCTCATTTCCGTCAATGCTTTTAACATCCATTTTTCTACGAACGGTTTATGATTTAGGTATTCTCGAATTTAGGTTTTCTCTACCACGCGCCACTTCCTTCTGAGACTTCACCAGCAGTGTCTTTAACACCCATATTTCTACTAACAGTCTGTTCAAGGCGATCTAAACTTTTTCTATTGTTCCTCAAAATTCTTCCAGCCTGTATCCATTACCCAATTCCAAACACTGCCTTATTTTAAGAATTTGTTAAAGCATAGTTGCCAGAGCTTGGAGCCAGAAAAACTTTCTTCTATTGACTGAACTAGCCTTGCCTATTCTCCAATCTTACCTTTTCTTTGGGGCCCCCTTCTTGCAGACTCTGGCCAAGATTAGCCAAGAGTCTTGTCCCTGGCAATGTCTCAAAGTCAGTCTTGGAACTAAAAAAGGGAGGCAGAAAGAGGGATACTTCCAGATACTAAAATCTGTATTAGTTACCTTTTGCTGCTGTAACAGATTACCACAAATTTAGTGGCTTAAAACAACACAAATTTATCATCTTTTCGAGGTCAGGTGTCCAATGATAATCTCACTGGACTAAGGTCAGGTGTCAGCAGGGCTCATTCCTTCTGGAGACTCCAAGGAAGAATCTGTTTCTTTACCTTTTGGAGCATCAAGAGTCTGCCTGCATTCCTGTGTCATGGCCTCTTTGTTCATCTTCAAATCCAGCAGCTAGCACTTCAAATATCTGTCCACTTCTGTCGTCATATTGTCTTCTCTGTGTCTCTGATTCATCCATCTCCTTCTTATAAGGACCCTTATGATTACATCAGACCAGACAATCCATTATAATCTCTTTCTCAAGATCCTTATCACATTTATAAAGTCTCTCTATGTAAGGTAATGTAGTCACAGGTTCCAGGAGACTAGGATATGATACCTTTGTGGGGCCATTATTCAGTCTACTGCAACAGAAAATAAACACAGGAACAAATAAAGTAATGATAAGTATTCAAAATATTCATTGAGAAAACACTAGAACATGCCATTCTAAGACTTCTAAATGCACGATCTCTCATTTCATCCTCTAGCAACCAAGAATTCCAAATGACAACTGAGACAAAGTTTTCAACAAGGAAGTTAATGAATTATTCAAATCTCAATGTTTAGAGAACAAAGTCCAAATCAGTATTATATTCATGGACTAACTTTCCTGTCAAGTCTCAACCTGCACCCGCTCTACCAGTCAAATTAAAATTTTGACCTTTCTCAGGAGAAGCCGCATGCTTTCCTGGGATGACATCATTCTGCCTTTGCTCAGGAAATTGGTTCCATCTGAAATCTTTTCCCCCTCAACTCTATATGCCGGCATCCTATTCTTTCTAGAAGTTCATATGAGGCATAAAAAAAGTTTATTCTTTTACGCCTAGCTTCCTTCATTGATTTTTAGATTCTTTAGTTCGTTCCTTTGTATTGTTGAGTAGTATTCCATTGTATGATTGGATCACAATTTATTCTTCTCTCGCTGGACATTTAGATTGCTGAATTTAGAGGCTATTATGAATTAAGCTCCTATGAACATTTCATGTACAAATATTTGGGTAGACATAGTTTCACCTTTTCTTTGGTAAATAGCAGACTATCTTCTTTGCTATGGTATCTTTTAAACTCTTTTTCCATTTTAAAATTCGGGTTGTT